AGCAGTCACTGGTACCCGTGGGTCTTGAACACTGGAGCATTTAGCCGATGCGTGTCGGTGGCCATTCTCATTCTAGACAACTGAGCATGAGCTCATCCCAACAAACATGTGCCTTTCATTCTAGAAGCGTCCCCAAACTTTTCTGTAGCCTCTCCGTGAGCATGTAGTTCACATAGATCCTGTTCCACAGTACAGATGAACCCACTGAGGCCTAGGGAACCCACGGTCAGTGTCTTGGTCAACACGAGGGGGTGCCAGCTCCACACAGAGGGCGGGCAGGGTGTGACTAAGGGTGGGGAAATCCAAAACACTGCTGGTCCCAGAGCCCCCAGCACCCCAAGAGGAGCCGACCATGCCCCTCTGAGCCAGCCTTCCTCTCTGACTCCCACAAGGCCACCTACTCCTTCTGCCACAGCCAGCCCTCACTGCGATGGTCTGGGTTCAGACTAAATGGACAGGTCAGAGTGTCCCTGGGGCACCCACCCAACAACAGTCTGTGTCCGCCAAGCCCCTCCTCACCCAGACCCTGGACAGGCAGACATTCCTCCCAGCGTGGGGACACAAGACTGGCTCATGGCTGCCCACAAGGAGCCCCAGGAGGTGCCAGTGGGAGAGACCACCAGGGTTATTCAGCCCCCACCCCTACCTGATTCCTCGGTGCCTCCCCAAGGGACACCGCCTGGTTTCTGCTTACACTTTCAGACCTTCCAGCACATTCTCTCTGCCGGCCAATCTCCGGGCAAGCTGCCTCTCTTCACTTCCAACCACTGGCCCCAGTTCAGCCGCCTCCCCACTACATTTCCTGGCCCCGTTTACATATTTCAAGACATGGACTGAACTGGTATTTGGCAATCCCTCCCTTAGCTCTGGCGAACCAGCTACTTGTCTGATTGACATAGAAAATAACTGCACGCAAGTTCACACCCAGGAAGCCTGGTGGTGTCATTGGTTTGGGGTCGGGCTGGTCATCTCAAGGCCAGCACATTGCAGGCACGTTGCAGGCATCAGCCGATCCTCGGGCAGGGAAACACCTGCTCCCTCAGACACTCCAGGGAGCAGTTCTTCTCTGCCCTACAGGTGGCTCCCGACCCCTCAGAACCGGCCAGATGGCAGGGCTAACTTTCTCATCTTCCCCAAACATGGACAGACTCAGCTCTATGAGGTCTTCGTGTGAATGCACCCCCCGCCCAGAGGAACACACACACACACACACACACAGAGCTGTACATTCAGGCCGGGAGGTTTGGGGTTCCCTGGACATTTAGGCCTAGAAATTAAAACTGAACAAAAAACCCTGGATAATCGCACCTAGCATCAATTGGTATTCACCTCCCGTTGAAATCACAGGATCGTGTCCATCTCAGAGCCAGATGGCCAGCAGATTCTCCTCCAGGTCATCACGAGAGGAAGCAGGGGAGAGGTGGGACCACAAACCCACGTTCCTTATATACTCCCTCCTTGTCCCCGTCCTGGCAGGAAGCGTTCGGAACTCTACCACCAGACACAGGGCGCAGGAAACAGCCTTGAGTGATCTGAGCATTTATTTCTCTGCGACTAGAACAGCTTGTGAAACAAGTCAAACCAGACATGGCATTCTGCAGGAGGCGGGGACACAGACAGGACACCACGGGAAACGCGGCGAGACAGAGGGATGAGGATGGACACCCCAGAGGGGACTTGGTGGTGAGTGGCGCCTGTGATGGAAGCGGCAGCCCGGGTCACCTGCTGCAGAGCGGTGGGTCCCAGGGCTTGCTCCTGCTTGATGAGTTGCTCCCCTCAACCCCACCCCCACCCCCACTAGGACAAGCTGCAAAACCAAAGGGCGGGGTTCTTTGCTTGCTTGTCTAAGGCCTGCCTTCTGGAGACTGGCAGCCTGCCCCACGGCTGGCTTACTGGTCACCAGGGCCCTCTGGGGAGTCTTGGAGCGGATCCTGTGCTTCCTTCACGAGAACATCGCCGTGTGGAGATATAGAGGTTCTTAGATCCGGAGGAGACTTGACCCCTTAACATTATAGACGAAGCACCTAGACGCGCAGACGGGGGCATCATTCTCCCCTGGCCACTCGGCTAGTGAATGGCAGGGCCAGGGTTCCGCCTCAGGCCTGTGTCACCCCTAAGTGCTGTCGCCTTTCCACGGCGCCACACGCCCGCTCTGTTCCGATCCTTTCTGGGACTTTTGAAGAACACAATCAAGTGCGGCAGGCTCAGAAAGGAAATCTGTGGTCACCGTGGGTTCGCTTCACATCACCAGGGCCAGAGAAATGTCTGATGGTGGGAGCCCGGCTCCCGCTCGCTCGATGAGAACGCCTCCAGCGGGTCAGGCAGCTTGGGGCCGGGGAAGGACTTTGGTGCAGCAGGATATTTGGCAACAGATGGTAGCACCCCTTCACCCTTGTCTCAGGGGCCTTGGGAATCAAGACTAACTGACGATGCCACATCACCGCCGAGCTAGGGGCATGCGCTCGGCTACTGGCCCAGAGGCTGGCAGTTTGAATCCACAGGTAGTGGCACAAGGGAAAGCCCTGGTGGTCTACTTCCATAAGCTCACAGCCCCTGGGGTCCCTGTGGGGGTGCAAGTCTACTCTGCACCGTATGGGGTCACCATGCATAGCAAGTGGGCCTCTTCGGCTGTGTTCCTGTTCTTGGTCTTCAGTAGATCTCTTACATTGCATGGGAAAAGGGCGTCATTTCTTTTAGAACCCAGTCACCTATCAAACACATCCAACACCACACACAGGAAGGCCCTCAGTCCTGGGTGCCTCCTGCTGTCATGGGAGGTCACAAAGACAGAAGGCCAGTGTCAACTTCGGATCATGGCCACCCTGCCCTCCGTTGAGCAGGGGTGGAGACGTGGACTGACAAGCAAGCACCCCCTTGAGAACATCCATGAACTCCCGGGGATACCACTCCCTACCCTCACTCCCACTCTACCACTTAGGGCTCTGGGCTTTGAGCCTGTGTCCTCTCATCCACCCCAGGTTCAGGAGCCAATTTCCACCGAGAGGCAGCACCATGGTGTTGATTTGGGGTCTGAGTCCCACTGGGCACGCATGACTGGAGGCAGAAGGGCCCCAGGCAGATGCCAGGAGAAGGTACAGGCTCCCTGGGAAGGCGCCCTTGTCTTCCCCCACACAGGCTCCTCGTCTCTTGGCTCCCTTTTCAGCCAAATGGACTCCAAAGAGGGGCTATTTGCACCCAAGAAATAATTTCCTCTAAACAATTGCCCCTCTGGGAACCAGCTAGATGGGACTGGAGGCCCCGCCTCCCCTCTCCCTTTTGGCGACTTAATTGGTTGTCTTTCTTCCTCTTTCTTGGAAACCACAGCCCAGCGACCCACGCAGCTGCTGTGTACTTCGAAGTCCTCTCTGGGCTAGGGGTCATGGAGGCCACATTTGGGGTTGGACTTGATCCCTTCATTGACAAACGTTGAACATGAATTTTGAATTTGCTTAGGGTACCAGGTTCCCTGGAGGGCTTCGCACAGGCAGGGTAAGAGCTCAGGGCTCCGGGTTTTCTGGCAAGGCCTTGAACAAACACATAGAAGCCCAAGCAGACCTGAGTCTCACTGAGTGGGAACTAGCCACCACCACCCCTGGAGACAGTGAGCAGGCATCTGAAGTTAACCCCAGGACTCTATAAAGCCGCCAAGCTGCTCCATTCACTGAGAACATCTCCCCTCACGCTGGCCCCACACTGCTTTCAGAGGTGCCAGGCCTAAGTCATAAAGACAGCCCAAGGAGGTTCCCAAGGTCAAGTCCCCACTGCCCCCGGCCCTGCCCAGGCTGGATGGGATCCCTGGGAAAGGCTTCATGGGGGTCTGAGAACCATACTTGCACAGAACTGACTGCCTGGTTGTTTTAGGCACCCACTAAGCACTGTCAGGACAGAAGGTGGCCCCCGGCAGGTGCCCCTGTGCCCTGCCCCAGACTCCCCAGGCCTCAGGAATAGGATGTGTGCCTCACAGAAGCTCAGAGTGTACTGTCAGCGGGCCTGGCTCACCGAGACTGCCCCCTCTCAACCCAGGTGGTCTGGTGTAGGGGCCTCCGTGTGTGTTCTGTGGCTCCCCTGCAGCACCTCGGGTCCCAACTGCCAGACCACCAGCTTGCACAGTCTGCAGAACGGCCTGGGACTCACACCAATCCAACTAAGCTTTAGTCCAGCTGGAAACTGACCGGACACGTTCTGTTCACAAACCCCAAAGCATCTAACAGCAAACAAATCCAGGCTCCTGGTCAGGCACGGACACCACAGAACTAATATGGGGGGTAGAGAGGTGGGGGGCAGGGGTAGTGGCAAGAGAAAGAGGAGTTGCAGCCCCTGCCCCAAACACGGCTGGGCTTGGGGTTGGTCCATCTGAGTTTTTATTTCAGGGTGTCCAATGAAAAGTATCTTCCTCTTTCTGAACTGGTGGCCTGAGAAGTTCCTTTCTGGCTCAAAGCACAAGCAAATGTGGTGGAGAGTTCTGCCCGAGTCTCAGAGGACAGACGTCCCGCCGCTGACGAGATCTGGGCATGCTCCAAGTGGCTGAGACTCTCCCCCAAACTAAGGAGGTTCCACAGAACCCACTGCCCTCGGTCCCTCCTCGCCTGCTCTCCCTGGAGCCTACCTCTCCGAGCTCAAAGCCCCCAGGCCAGACGACAGAAGGGGAACAGAACCAGTCACGGAATCATTGGTAACTGAAAAGGGAGGAGGAGTGGGGCGGGGAGGAACATTTTCCGGCAGAGGAATCCCAAGACGATGTCCAAGTGCTGGCGAAGCCGACGCCTTGCCTGGGACCTTGGCAGGGGGGTTCCTCCTCAGGACTGGGCTCAGATGGCCAACCAGTGTTGCAACTGCAGATAAAGGGGGTGCCATTATGACACGAGGCATGGTAAACTGGGGTCCCGAGGGCCCAGAGCCAGTGAGAAACCAGACCCGGACCAGCTGACAGCACAGACTACATAGAACCACAGGTTAGCCTCCCAGGGGTTGTTGAGACCCAGAAAGGGCCAAGGAGCCTTCCTGAGTCTGAGGGGTGATCACCAGGACTCCCCTACCCCACCTCATCGCACCCCTGGGGAAGTGTTGGGTCTCAGGTGAG